GCAAAACAACAATTTATTAAAGTAAATTGAATTTTTAAAAAATGTGGTTAAATATATAAATGAGTTTTTTTGCCTGACATACATTTTTTTGTACTTTAAAAGGTTAGATATTTGCAAAATGAAACAGGGATAAAATATAACAATGATAAATTCTGTTTTAGAAATAAACCACGAAATGACTTTATATAATATTTTTGACAACAATATCAGTACTGTTGAAAACAGTTAAAAATGACAATTGATATGCTGCATAGCTGTTTATAACTGGAGTTGATTCGACCTGCATTAGATTTACAATAAAAGATGTCTTTGTATTTTATTGTTATGTTTAAGTTAGTGTACAGCTCTTACAGTTTTTACTCTTGGTGTAATAGGTATTCTCTAAACATGCTAAGCATATTTCCACCTTTTAAAACCTAAGAGAAAAGTATCATAACAACACACTAGCAAATTTTTAGCTACATATGACTATATAATAAGCATTATTTTACCAGTAATTTTAAATCTTAGATTAAATCTTATCAATTACAAACTGAAATTCATTATGCAAGCCCTTTCTTTATTTCGTTACACACATCTTTAGATGTTTAAAAATATTAATTTCACCTCACTTTATAAAATATTACTGTGGGTAATACATTAAATGTCTATAAAGAAAGATTCTGAATATTCAATAATGCTTTATAAACTTTCTAGTACTTTGAGAGCATAAAAAGTAAAAGATTAATTTAGCTTTATAGAAACCAACGTGTCCATAAGAGCAAGTTAGAATGCCCAAACTTCTTAGATTGGTAGGTACACAGGTCCTGCTACATCTTCAAGGATTCTCCCAAATTTCTAGAAACAGTCTTATTCTCTTTTGGTGTAGGCCACAAGGTCACTAACGTTGATGCTTGAGAAATCTACCGGCACTTCCATATCTCCTGACATCAGATCCATGTTTAAAAAATCGTAGTCCATGTCAGATACTGCTGCACCGGCACTGTCAAAAACAAACGATCAACGTTAGCTCTCTTGACCTACACCTAGATTCTTGTTTCTTTTATGTCCAATGCTACATGTAATGCACTCCAACTTGCTCATTATGAACTACTCTGCAAAAAACAAAATTTGAATGTTCAATTTTTGTATCAGTATAAAAACAACAAAACCAGTCATCACATATTGAAAAAAAAAGCTTTATTTTTTATCACTGATATTTAATTGTTTTATACAAATGAATTTATTTATAAAAACAGCTTTTAACATTTTTAAATCAAAAAGATTCAACCTTTTAATGAAAATATAAACAAGTAACAAGAATAAGAATAGGGTTAAAAACACGAAATGGGCCGAAAGTTACCTCACAAAGAAATGTGCAAACAATATTGCATAAAATGGATTGCACAACTATTTAAGCTTTTGTTTTTGTTCAAAACCTTTGGTCAGTATTACAAAAACACGTTAAAAATAGCATAAGTATATCATCAAGTTCTTGAAAAATCTAGATTAAACCATAATTCTTCTCTTTTTTTTTTTTACAAATAAAACAACCCAGGTTTTTTGTGAAACTTAAATGTCCAAGGATCAAATACCTTTTGATAAAACATGTGGTAACATCTTTCAATTCAATTCTACTAATGTTTTCTTGATACTTCAAGCTATTAACTTTAAACTATAGCAAATGATTCAAAAATTCACACTGCAAACACTTCAATAATTTGGGCTATTAACAAAACTTTGTGCTGCAATGAACTTTACAAGCACAAGATATTCTAAAAAATATGACAAGTTACGTTCTTCAGTTGCATGAATATAAACAAAGTATAAAATGATTGAAAACACATACACAATTTATTCACATCACATCTATATCACACACAAATAATCTTGTAAAACAGTTTTGAAAACAGGACTGGCAAAAAGAGAAAAGTTGGAGAAATAGTTTTGATACAAACTGTTTACTGCTTGGCAAATCTTGGGGAATCACCTGTGCACCGAGTTAATGCTAACAGGGATATCAGGCACTAGTTAAAACTTTTTTTTAGACATAGAAAGTTAGTAGAAGGATTTGAATACAAACTTCTGTGTTTTTAAAGTAACTTACACACTTGGCAAATTTGAAGATTCCAATACTACCTCCTCACACTATCTTTTTATGCCCATAACAGGCATACTCACATTCCATTCTTCAATAAGAAAGTGTTAGAAACACAGAAACCAAAAGTACTTTAATGAATTATCACATCTTTCTAATTGATATTTTAGAGCATTTAATATGAACTACCAAACAAAGATTTTTTTCTTCAATTCATCCATTTCCTATTTTAGAGAAGATGAAATTAATTATGATGTTGAAATGCACTATACTAACATTATTATTATTTTCTCTAACTTTCCCATAAAAAATATCCATATATGAAGTGAAATACCTTTATCCAGATCAATACCGTTCAAATACTTTTATCTACTCATTCTACTTAAACAAGAGATGTTAGGCAATTTTATTGCCAACTTATTGCTTTCAACCTTTTCCTAAAAACTATATGTTAATATGGCTAAAATTTTCAAATGAAACTGCTGTAGAAACAAACAACTCTCCTCTAAGAAAGAATATTTTAAAATTAAGTTAAAAGTGAGATGAAGCAGAATTTGAACTTGACTTTGCTTTCTGGGCAGAGGTTTTAGTCAACTAAGCTACTGCCTCTTGAAGTACAAGTTTTTCACATCATTGATTATCAACAGTAGAATCTGGCAGGACTCTTTGAGATGTGCAAACCTGCATGCAAAACTCTAATTCCACCCATAAAATTTCCTTATGTTCTCTGAGGCAGTCTAATTTAAACAAATTTATGTTTGTTTGTTTTTCTGTTATTGGGAAATGAAACAATTATGAAATTAATAAAAATGGATATAGCTAATATCTACTAAAGGGCTACCTGCACTAGTCATCCTTAATTTTGAACTGATAGATTAGAAGGAAAGCAGCTAGTCAATAGCACCCACCACCAACTCTTTGAACTGATAGATTAGAAGTAAAGCAGCTAGTCAATAGCACCCACCACCAACTCTTATACTCATGGATCCAAAGTGAGGAGAGAGATTTTTTTTTCAGTGGTAATGGGATGCAAATGGTGGATCCGCAGAACTATAAAATGACATGCTAATCACTGAGCCATGCATGACCATATCTTAATTAAACTGACTTGCTCCACTGAATTGTTCTGTACAAAGGCTTGTAATGCCTTCTGAACAGCAAAAACATGTTTCAATTCATTCATTATCTCAAAAATGTTAAGTAAGAAAAAGTAATATTTAGATTCATAAACTGATGATTTTCCTTTATAAGAAGTCTGTTTTTTTCAAGTGGTTTTACCATAAGGAAGTTTACAGTGTGGAAAGGAATTATAAAATCTTTTTTTTTTTTTTTGGTTTCTTAATTTTCAGGCTTTTGTGTCAGTTGACAGGAATATTAAATATTTTAAAATTACACATTATTTATTATTCTTCCTGATTACAAAATAAAAAACTCAAATTTCTGCTTTGATCATATCTACATTTTAAAAGTTTTTTCATATACTATTTATCTTATTCTAATTGTGCTTACATCATTTTCAGCTTCATTTCTTTTATGCTGAATTGAACTTTTTTGTCCTAACACATATAAATACTTCAACAAAATTGAGTAACACAGAATTCTAATGCTGTTGCAATCATTTCATATCCATATTACTACATTGCAAAGTAAAAGCTGTATTTTTTGCGATTTGTTGATTAATCCACAAAATCAGAAATGTTCTTACATACATTTTTTTTTTGTAATTTATTCTCAACACATAATACATGTTTTAAGTTTGCCACCTATGTTCAGAAAGAACAAGACTTACCCTGTGAAATCATGATATATGAAAATGACTTTGTAAGTTTAGAATACTTTTTATTGTTTCATGTGATTGAAACAAGATGTCTAATTTTTGAATTAGTGTTCCTAGAGAGATCAGTACTCTCTGAAAAAAAACTTACTATATTTTTCAATTCAGAGAAAAAGGCTTTTTTCTTTTACTGCATGAATAGTTAACTTAAGAATAGAAAAGCATAGTCATTAATTAGGCAAACACTGCTTCTTACCCCCCCCCCCTTTTTTTTTTAATCACTGTAAATTAATGGTCAATTTTGCACATTTAGTAGTGATTATTTCACTAATACAAAAAATAAAATAATTTCCACATGTTAAGGAAACATGATTCATGAAACTGTTTTTGTAAAAGTACTTCCTGATTTTTTTACACTGCATATCACTTGTGAGATTTGGAATGACTCTGCAGTATTAGCTTAAGAGAGAACACGACTGCTCAAGTGAATTTTTTTCACGTCAACATTTATAAAATAACCACTGATTTATTTGTTACATAATAATATTTACAAGATAATATATATAGTTCTAACCATGACCCCATGTTAAATAATTTTCTTTATTCATAATATTCCTTAAAAAACTATGTTTATGTATATTTATGACACCTTAACTGCTCTGTAACCAAACAATCTCAAAATAAACAAACTTTCTGTGCTTATACATTTCAATAGTACATATATTCACCACCTTAACAAATAACACAATCTCATCAACCAACCCTTAGTTATAAGATTTTATCAAATATTTGTTTATGTATAATGTGCTAAGATTTAATAACACTAATATCTTTCAAAACCAATTCCATTGGCAACATTGAGAATTTTAAGTAGGATGTATTAACAAAATCTGTTAAAATATTATCTTTATAAAACTATTTTCATTATGTGTATTATTATTTATAAACATAACTTCAAACTTTAAATTCATGCACTAACTCTACATGGATTACAGAAAAACTTAACACCAAAAAAACATACTAGGTGTTTTGGCTACCTTTAATCTTAATGGTAATAGTTTCGAGAATGATACAAAAATGGCATTTAAATGTTCTGCACCCTGTTTATATGGTGACAAAAGCTCTATATATATATAATTTTAAGGAAGTGTATATATATCAAAACATTTGACATTATAATAAAGTGCCTGAACCTACAATTTCTATTAATTCTCTTATTCATATCTTTTATGTGAATCACCATTAAAAATTAGATCTTATCAAAATTTCCTTAACAAACATCCACTCCTAATGCTACTCCATTTACACCAAAAATGCCATACATAGCGTTTTTTCACATAAACCTACAATTAAGTGTATGTTAAACACAAACAAAAATGAACATGACAAATACTGGAATAGAATTAATGGTTAGTAACCAACTGAATATTAAAAGTTAAATATATATCACAGAGACATCCTTATCTCTACCTTTGACAATGCAACACATTCATTCTGTGACTATTGTAAAATATTCACAAGACATATACCTTAGACTAGGTCAAACTATTAAAAACCCTCAAATGCTACATAAATTTAACCAAAAACTACATGTTTCTTAGAATTTATAAAAAAGACAAACCAATACGAAATACAGGAACAATTTATTACAAATTTTATTGTAGACTAAAAATGTTTTTGGAAAATATTGCAAAGTGTAAATCATATTCTATCAATATTTGTTTGACCCAACATCTTACTAAATATATATATGTATATACACACGTGTAGGTGTAAGGTGTAAGTTAGTAGAACTGCATGGATCATTCCTATAATAATTTTTACAAGGAACAACAAAGTAATGTCACTTCCTTGGCATTCATTCAAACTTGGGCCTACTATATAATCTTCTCACCCACAAAACTATTCTGAGACATTAAACCATCACAAAGGTTCAATAATGGACATTCCCATTTGTCAATGTGACTAGAACCCCACAAATGTTTTAAATCCACTGGCTTGTCAGATAAGTACACTTACTGCATGGGTTGGTCACCACCACCTGCCATAGAAGAGGAGTCATGATAGCTAGGATCAGGAGACTGAGGGTGAAATGAGGACTGTGGTGTTCCAGGATAGCTGTCCATTCCACTGCTCATGCCTGTCCATCTAGTGAAGAAATAAAGTAAAAATGGAGTTTTGGTAGTACATGAATACATATATCAATCATGGGCAGAAATTAGTTCCTGAAGTTTGAAGTAAAGTAAATGAACAAGTTTAAGACACTTTAACCTCCATTTTTGGAAAAAAAATAATCAAATGGCTAGTTTTAAAAGTGTTGTTAAAGCCTGTTTTTAAATTAATGTAATTAATGTTTCTGAACAGCAGCATCTTTTCAAATGTTACATGAAGAAACAGTATCAACAGTAATAGATAAAACATTTAAATAAAAATATTTTTCAACACAATTAGTTGAAATAAACTACGATGATTTCAAACAGAATTATGTATAAGTACCCATATTATTAACTGATTTGAACATTACACAAAGAGGATATTACTAGCTATTCAATCATAATAACATGTTTGCTTTTAATACTGTCTCATTAACTTTTACAGTTAAGTTAAAATGATCATTTCAAACTATTTTAAAACTATAGCTCACAAAAGTATTGTTAATGTTTTAATTTAAATGTTTGTTTGCTGGAGGGAACATATTATGTGATGGTGATGTAATACATCTAGAAATTTCATGAAAGCTAAGGCCTCTGCAGATTCTAGAAAATTTATGTAGTACGTAGAATTAAAATTACAATATAAATACCACACCAGGTGAATTACTTGGTTATCAGTTAATCAGTGATGATTCAGATAAATGTGTCTGTTAGTGAGAGTTAATGCATCTATTCAGTTACTCAGTGAGCTAGCATGTTTAATATCAATTGATTAACAAGGAATTTCTGTAAATAAGTTTGCGAGTTAGACCTACAAGTGAACATAGACTTGCATCAAACGTTACTGATGAAATAATTAATTTGTTTTTGTCGCATGGATTGGACTTAGCATTATTTTTACCAAATAATCCAAAAGAACCCACCCAATGACAGAGCATGGTACAATACTGTTGTCAGAAATGGGATTACTTTGGTGAAAATAAAATATATCATTGACTAAACTTCAAGATGACAATATGATCACGAATAAAAATATCAAAAGTCTGCTGGATATGATGAAACAGTGGAAAGAAGAACAAACAAAACGAGACAGATCATTTAAAGAAGAACAAGAATAAAGATACAGAAAATCTGGAGAATGAGGCAGGAATTTATGGAAGAGGATAAAATAAAAAAACTCACTGCAGGCAATGCATATGGGCATGACCAACAGAGATGAGGGCTTCCACAAAAGCCCACATTCCCAAAAGAGAGAGAACCTCACACACAGTGGGAGAAGGAGAAAAGGAGAGGCTGCAAACCAGAAGCAACATAGCCCTCAACTGAAGGGGAAGGCTGGGTCCACCCGAGTAGGGAAGCGAACAACCCCCAAGATGAACTAGGTATTGTGTAAGGGTTAGGAAAGATTTCTCCACCTACACCAAACAACCAACCTGAGCTACTTCTCTTAGGAGAAATTGGATATGAAGGGCAGAGTCAGCCTGTGAGAAACACAGAAGCAGCCAATCATACATGTAATGGTGGAAATAAAAGCCCTGAGAACGAAGATGACGGGAAAATGCCCGGACCACTCGATAAAAACTGTAGGACTGTGGAGGCTAGTCTGATCAGATGAGCATGAAACTGAACCCCCCACCCCCCAAATGTGATGGATGCATGGAAGATAGAAGGAGTAAAAACTCAAAGGAAAAATAGGACTCCATGGTGAAATGATCAAAAAGCGGTTCAAAGCCAACATATCAAAAGTAGGGCACCAGTCCCCTTTCTTTATGATATGATCTTTATAATCCAGACTATAGGGATCTCCTCATTTAATGGTACTCTTGCTATGCAAGGCCTGAACTGCCTCTGAAAGACTCTGGATGGCAATGGGAAAAAGAAACTGAAGTATTGGGGTCATATCCCCACAAAGAAAGGGACAATCGACTCTAAACACTGCATGTCTAAAAAGAGTAAATCATAACGATGAAATGCCAGAGCATAGTTGTCCAGAGTACATGAGAGTCGAGGCATACTGACACCTGAATGCAACTGCAACCCCAATATTCCAACTGCTCATCAATGAGAAGAGCAGGAGTAGAATCATAGGAAATGGGAGATAAAGATAAAACATATCTTATCCATTAAGTCTAGAAATGTGATAATAGGCCTAGGCACCTCCCCAATATGACAGGACTGTGAGTGGGAAACAGGCTGTCCGAATCCTCATCATCAGGTGACACAAAAGCCTACATAAGCGTAGCAAACTCCCTATGAACCAGAACCGTTACTTCTCAAGCAAATAAAGCTAGTTCAGATGCCACTTAAGTAGCCAGCAAATCAGCTGTAGTAGTCCCAGCAGCTGTGGTAGATGCCACACGGAATTGAGAGTGCATTACCAGTGGAGTTAACTGGGGGAAAACAAATATTCTTCTCTCAACAGAATTTGTAAACAGTAAAAACTCAAAATTTACTGGTAAAAAAATAAGTACAACCTAATAAGAAACAGTAAATGTGATCAATGAAAAAAACCATGAGCAAAAACACATCCTAACAGTTAGACTGCCAACAAGAAGTGCTTACAGACTGCACAAAAGAGATGGTGCTTGTGATAATAGGAGTTGTGGCATACTATTATTGGTGGAAGGTTGCTGCATCACCATTTGCATGATAGCATGCAATTTTTCACTTGAGGGTAGGTGGGAGTATCAAGGCTAGTGGCAAGCAAAGATTTGTGCATATACAAATCAGTATAAGTCAAGAAAAGCTATCTGTGAGAAGAGGAATTTGTGTAATACATAGAAATAAGAGTTCAATATAAATACCAGGGTCAGTGCATTATTTAGTTACTAAGTGAGTGATTCAGTTCAATGTCTCTTAGAGACTTAGACAGTGAGAGCTACTGCATCTCTTCAGTTATATGGTGAATTAGTCAACATGTTTGTTATTGTTCACGTTACATGCTTTGAACGCCCTCACATTTTCATGGGAATTATGATTTTAGACACCAATCAATATGACCATTGACATACTAAATTTCCACCACCTTCAATCACTTACCAAAATTTTACATGAACATAAGTTCTTGTTATTACCTTACAAATATTTTGTTAAGACACAATTCTCCTTTAGACAAGAGATCATGGTTTTATATTGGTCCTTGAATAAATTGAACTGTAACTGATATATATATATATATAAATAAACTGCTGAGGTAAAAGTTTGCAACTGTACACAAAATCAGGCATTATTCAGCCAAAATTTCAAGCCGTAAGCAACAACTACCTTTCAGTATATTAAGATGTAGCAAAACTAAACAAATATGTACAAGTAAAACACATCTTTAATATATTTCTTTACTTGACATTTAAATTACATGAAACGTTTCTTTTTTTATACAATAAACCAATCTGTTGTTAATACAATTACATTTTAAAGTACATTTATTGGAAGAAATAAAATTCAGATACCACTGAAAAAAATGTGTGAAGATAAGCAGATATAAACAAAAAGTAAACTGTAAATTGTAAAAATGTACATGTCCAAAAGAATTAGATAAGTGTATCAAAGAACTAATTTTTTTAAACAACTTGTACAACAATAAACTTGAGACTCATACTCAAACAAATACCTACCCTGGTATATGTGTCACTAGTACTGGCTTTACATATCCATTACTGGAAGGAGGCTGGTTTTCTGCATAAAAATGTATCAAAATATAAAAAAATAATATTTTCTTTTAATAAAATAATACAGTGAATATTTCTCCAACTAGGATAATATGATGTAAGTTACCAACTTCTGGTTAAAATCATGATAATCTAACATATTATAGTTATCATTGTTGCATCAGCAAAAAGATCCATTACTGGAAATTCCCCCCCCTTTTGTCATTAGTTCATGTGGGACACGTTTCCTAATGGCATCATTAGTTTTCATACTTCTTAACTAGCTTACTCTCATTTCATGAAAATTTCACCAAAACAAACAATTTTCAATTTTCTTTTCAATTAAATGTTATTGTTATATATTTTTGACAAAATGCTCTAAAAGATCAAAATTTCCATGCCTAAATACTGCTTCCTTCAAATAAAATGTTCAATATTCCCATCACTTTCAACAATAGCCTCCAGATGATATGGAATATAACAGACAGCAACATGATGCCAAACGTCAGTGACATATATCACACAATGTTGAATCTGCATTTCTGCTCAAGTGTTAACTGGATAGTTGAAATAAATCCTACAACTCAATGAGTGAATGAATAAGCTTTGAATGAAACTCAAATTTTTAAATGTAATTCCTAGTGATGTCATGTGATAAGCAAATACATATTCAAGGCCATCTTGCAGCAGCATTTTTTTTTCCATAAATGTGTTACACATTTTTTATAAATCTGCACCAAATGGAAAGCTGTTAGTTGTATGATTATCCTACCTCCTATTCATTTAAAAGACTAAGAACTTAATAAAATACACAAATATTTAAATAAGGTAAAACTACTGCTGGGAATAGAATGACTGCCTGTATTTTTATTGGCATTATGTTGATGTGGCATCGTCTGGTTGGTTAGATGACAACCAACACAGTATAAACTATCAAAACATGACTATGCTTTGGTACAGTTCATTTTCATACAACAGAAGGAGAAGGAACTGCACAATATTTGTATTTTATACACATTTCATTCAATGCTTCCATAATCAGTTCCAATACTGTATATCACAATATCTATGAAGCACTAACAAAGAAATTTATATGCTAAGAAAAACATATATTTTTCAAAATAACTTTACACTCATTAAATTACTTAATAATAATAATTACAGCTACTAACCTGTATATGGGGTATAATACTTCCCAAAAGCTTGGTCTTTTGGTATGTCAGGATACAGATATGACAGGTGTTTCAAGTCATTAATACGGTCAGCTAGTGAACGAATAGTGAAGTCGCGACTGGTAAAAGGCTGCAGCATGAAAACATCCATTGTCTCTGTGAATTGAAAAACAAAAGAATGTTGAGTATACAAAAAAACAGAACAATTCAAGACTTTCTTTTAATTTAATAGGCATATCCTTATGAAAATGTTTATTTTTTTTTACTTTAAAATGTATGCCAATTTCAATATAATTAAAAAAAAAAGGTTGGTTAATATTGGGTTGAATATTACCAATATGCAAAAGAAATGGAATTTTGTATTTTAGTTTATAAAATTTAACATTACAAAACCTTTTAAAAATTGAATTACTCTTTCTTTATTTCACAACCAATATTTATTGCTATGGGTAAAAGCTGAGAATGTTTTATTCTGTTACTAAATATTAGACTTGTGTAATAAATTAGTATCAAATTACATCATATGAGGAGACAGACAGCTATTTTTTCAGTGTTTGCTGTCCTGAAAAGTTTAAATTGTCATTTCTGTGATCAAGAATTGAACTTTTTGTTTTGTGATCTTGAGAGTTATTTTCAACAAGGAGGTTATCTATAGCATAACATTTACTAATCTACTATAGTCATCTTTTAAAAATATTAGTATTTAAATACAAATCTAACATTTAGAATAACAAAAAAAAAAACAATTTTCAACTTTTACTCATCCAAACTGACATACTTTCAAAAATATTGACACTCCTACAGAAGTCTAACATTAACTTGGATAAAATCAAAAGTTTCTTGGTGGTTTGGTTTTCTATCATAATAGGCCAGCCTACTTTTAAAAAAATAGATATTTCTACACAAATACAACCTTTAAAAATAAAAAAAAAGCATTTACCATTTACAATGGACATCTATTCACAAATAGTAGTATTTTCACATAAATGTATAATTTAGAATAATTTTTAAAAAATTAAAATTTTACCCATCAGAACAGATGTATTTTCAAAAACACAGTTACAATCAGGAATTAATATTTTTTTCAAAACCTGCTGGTGAGGATGGCAATATTTTGGCTCAATGTACAATTTCATATACATCTCATCTTCGTATAACCATTAATGACAACACGTCCATATTGTTTTAAGTTACTTATAAATCTAACATGAATCTTTTCACCACTTTGAAATTAAAATTTGATGATTTTGAAATATATTCAATATCACAATAGATTGATATCTTATACTTGTATGGGTTAATATAAGAAACTATGAAGTGCTATGTACAGCTATTCTGAAGAAGAATGAATTAAAATTATCTTTGTGTGTGATAAAACACAATACAATGAATTAAAATTATCTTTATGTGTGTGATAAAACACAATACAATGAATTTTACAGCTGACATAAAATGCATAAAAAATAAGGAAATGGTACCACCATTTAGTCTACTTTCCAAAAAATATGTTGAGGATTAAATACAATACTAATGCCAATCTAAAACTTGTATATTTTAATACCTTTCAAATCATGCGTTTAGTTTAAATAAATTCTAAAAAATGAAATTTAAAAATGTCAGAAATGACAATAGTTGTTTCTGAAGACTGGGGCCTGTAGCTTTTAGATGCAGTAATGCTGTGTCTATTATGCTGACTTCCAACATCAAAAACCATTCCACACATTTATTAATCTTCCATTGCAAAAGCATTAAAACATTTTCCCTTGATCCCTGGACTCATTATTTACTTTGGTAAAATGTACAAAAAATTTTCTTTTGTCCTCGTATGATGTAATTTGATACTCATTTATTACATAAGTCTAACATTTAGTAACAGAATAGAACATTCTCAGCTTTTACCCATAGCAATAATTATTAGAGGTTTTCTATAGCATAGCATTTACCATTCTACTATAGTCATCTTTTAAAAATATTAGTAATTAGATAAAAGTCTAACATTTAGAATAACAAAACAAGTACCAAATATGGCTCTAAGATGCACAGTTTCTGATGATTTAAGGCATAGCATAGTAGCTTTAAGTAAATAGAGTTACAATCATGGGAAATGTCTGCAAAAATGAAATTATCAAGAACTGGAGTACAAAAAATATTCAAGAGATATAATGAAAATGGTGCTACTGATGATAAGAGCAGGCCCAAAAGACCACCTTAAACTTTCCAGATCAGATGATTAGAGTACTTCAGACTTACTTCACTCAGAGACTATAGAACTTCACAAAATTACTAGGGTTAAAATTGACTATTCTAAAGTCAACACATATTGCATCAAAAAGGGCTGAAAGAATACAATGCAATATGAAAACGTTTTTTCAGGAAGGTAACAAACAGAAGAGCCTTATCTTTGTTGAACCCCAAATATTTGACAATATATACACGAAGAAGGGTACTTTGATCTGAAGAGTCACAGTTTGAGATTTTTGAAACCAACAGACATCAGTATGTTCATTGCAGGAGTAGTTAGAGGCTAAGCAAAATTTGTATGCAGCCTCCAGTTAAGTATGGTGGAAGTAGCATCCAAGTATGATGCTGTTCAATCACAAATGTAGTTGGTGATTTCTACTGTATTGATGGAATCTTGGATTACACTAAATATATGCAAACTTATTAACCATGCTGTTCCAGACTATTATACTGTTAAATGTGTGGGACTATCTTGATTGAGAAAAACAGCAAACACAGGTGGAATCAAAGATATCTACGATTCAGTTACCACTGAGTATCTCCAAAAACTTGAAGAAAGCATTCCTCATTTGTTTCAGGTGATTTCAGCGTGGTGAAATAAAATATTAAAGGACTGAACTATTAATCCAATTTATATGCATTTGTTTTGCCATCAGATATTATGAAATTTTAAAATACTTACACTAAAAGGACATTAGCAAGTTTTGAATCTAAAATACATGAAGATGACTAGATTTGGCTCTTGCTAATAAAATACATTCAACTAAACAATTATTCTCACAAGACTAATACAGTCTTATTCCCAACTTGTTTTGGTTTTTTTAAAGACATTTTTGAACTGCTCTTTGTTTAATGTGATGGATAATCTTCAAATACAATAATTTAGGATTAAGTTATTTATTAACCCTCAACTGTTGCAGATGAAAATATATCATCAATGGATCACAAAATATGATTAACACCATTTCTTGGGTTTATTCCTATGAATTACTTTACTAAAACTACAAAATGTTTGAATAAGTAGAGTTGTTTAAACATTTGTTTAACAACAAGTAAAAGTTTGGAATGGTCTATTCTTTCATTGGGGTGTGTGTGTCTGTGAGCCATACTAGTTTCGGAGAATTCCACTCCTCATCAGTGACCCTGGACACTACCACCAATGAAATATCAGACCAAACCAAGCCTTTATACTAGTGAGGTATCGAAAATCAAACAAGTTAATACACCAGTTTGATTTATAAAATGTTTGCCAATAAAGTAAATATTACTTGGTGACATTTATTACAAATGAGAAAAATACTAAACATTCTCAGGTTTTACATGATGTTACAATTATAGTATAGTAAATAACGTTTAGAAAAAGAGTATAGGATTGTTACAGAAAACTGAGATATCTAACTTTAGTACACTATTATTAAATAAACTGATTCATCTTTAAAAATAATTGTTGTCAGACTTCATGTGATAATATTAGCAAACATTCTTACGTTCCAGTGTGTTATATCTATATCATACTGTGAAAACAAACTCATTCCAATTATAGAAAAACAAAAACAGTACAACATTAACTAATTCGCAAGAAAACCTGTGATGATACTACATGATCTCTATGCAAAGATTAAAATAATTCATAAGGTGGAAATCATCTGGTTGGTTGGTTTGTTGTTAAGCAAAAATCTACACAATGGACTATCTGTGCTGTGCCCACTATGAGTAACAAAACCTAGATTTTAGTGTGATAAGCACACAGATTTACCACTAAGCCACTTGAGCAGCATATGACAATAGTCAGGCTTTTGTTTTCCATTTTCAGTGCTTCCTATCTAGCTAGAGTTAGTTGTAGTTAAATAGGAGTCTTGTAGGTTAATTTAATGATGTTACATATTATAAAACTGTTATTAGTCCACCATCCAGGATTCATTTAAGGGCATTCACTTTCAATCTACACACACACAAAAAAGAAAGACCTCTATAAATATGGTTGATAAGAAAATAATATAATATTTATATTATAGATTAAATAAAATACTCATAGTTTTAAGTTATTACATAATGCAAGATAATTATTTAATTTTGCCTTAGTTTTTTTTATTATCTATAAATTTACCTCAATTTATTAATTCTATAACACTATTTTTGTTATTCACTCAGTAGCTATTATAATGCATTAACAATGAACAAACTTTCCAGTGAAACTTTACATTTGGCATGTAGTTACAAGACTTATGCACAATTTCATGATTTTATTTTTTGCAAGCAATTAAAAAAAAAAGTTAACAATGGGAAGAAACATTTATTTCAAAGTTTTAATCGTTAATTTATTCTATAAAATTTAAATCAAAAATTAACTTCCACATATTACTATTGTATTTTTGTATATTACTAACTAAACGCAGATGAGTGTAATCTTTAACTAAGTTCATTTTTAATACCTATTTATTATTGCAATGATGTGCAAGACATCTTTTACACTGACTTTTAACTTTTAGAGCAACCAAGTTATTCTGCAGTGTGAAATCATATTAACTAGGCATAAAAATTTAGTCTCAACTGAGCTTTACAACCCTGGTATTGAATAAACATGCATCAAGTGCAGATAATTTAGACATTTTCTGAGCCATTTCACTCACACTAGTTGTATAGAGACCACTGAAATAATGTTATGCAAAAATTAAATTGAAACACATTAATCATAAAATTAAAACAAATTAAATAAACTTTGAGACAAATGTTAAAAACAACTGTTTTTGTTGCTTTCTACTGTATAATTCTTGTCACAAGGTATAGGTGCCAGATGTTTAATTTGTAACAAGTCAGACATAGTGAAAAGTGAACATGTGATGCTGCAGAGCAGACTGATTTTTACAAAAGGATTTTTGGCACATGTAGGATTATCTAACACAATAAAACACATATTACTTATACTGTTATTTTAATTGCATTTCCTCATATAATGAAACTAATTATTATCTCAGATAGACCATTTATTGATTTTTTATGTTAATTTATGATTTATATTTGTTGCAATGACAAATGGCATGAGAGACAGATGTGATAATGTTTTTAATTGTACTAGGTGATCTGCTGGGTTTTTTTTATTTAATCAGCTACTGAAAATATACTTAATTATACTAAAAAAGGTAGAAACTTAACTTAAAAACAAAGTTAATGAATTGTCTAAAGCATTATTTTGCCAAAACTATGTTGACTGTTTTTTATCAAAGATACATGCCAGCAGGCAAGCTGCTACACTAAGTCTACTACAAAACAGAAGACAATTAACTGAGAAGGCCAACAGGGCAATACTTTTTATGTACTATAATTCTAGGGTATTGTTGAGGATTTGTACACCAAACTAAGGAGTATTCACAGTTAAAAAAAAAGAAACAAAATTGTAAATGTCTTCCATGTATATTACAATGGTCACTGAGTGAATAACAGAAAAGTGTAGTTTTCATTGTTTTAAAGTAAATCAGATGAGTATTCAGCTACCTAAATATGACTTTTTCTACTATATGTTCTTTGTACAAATTTTAAAAGTTTATTGCTAAGGAGAGGACTCAAGCCTCCCATATGTAATAAGTAATGTAACACTGATTATGTTTGTAGCATATAATAAGATAAATCCAAGCAAGGTACACACAAAATTCTTCACTGCGTCTTAATTATTTAACCAACAACCACTAAACCACACCTTCAAATTCAAGGATGTGTACAAGCAGAATGCTTGCATAACATTGTGCTAAGGGAAGTAATACAAGCTATCATGTCATGTCATGAGCGAGTTCAGTTGACATGCATCTGAAGTAGAACACATTTGTTCAAGTTACAGCATAGTTGCTAAGGATGCTATCCTTAATCTTGAACTGCTGCCCAGAGAAAAGACAACTGGCTGGTAGCACCCATGCACCTCCAACTCTTGGGCTATGCTCTTCAACATCAAATATGTTTGACCAGTACATTATAAAACCTTCAGGCCAACATAGCCTGGTGGTTAGGGTGGTTGTTTCATATATTAAGGATCACAGATTTGATACTTGGCAATACCAAACAGCCTTAAGGGTATTACAATCTGACAGTCAATCTCACTAAGTAGAAATCAATGGCAATGCTCTGGATACTTGGAATAATCAAAAAGAGAAACAATTTCTTTCAATTTCAATCAGTTGATTATTTTCATGACACTCAATTTAGTTGCAACTTTGATTAACCAATTATTTTATGTGACATTAATTACGTAATATATGCTCATAGGTAATCAATTATATCAATTAAATAACTGCTCAGCTATGGTAATGACTGAATGGTCTCTAATTTATGCAATGGTACTGTATCTAATATTATAAAGCACTATACATATATCACCATTTTTGGTACCTTGCTGTGGATCTTCTGCAACCCAAGCTATAGTTACTCCACCAAGTTCTGAATCACTGAATCGAAGAAGAAATGATCCACTTGGTCTTTTCAATAACATTTCTTCAGCCTTCCTTCTACTAATGAACCCAACGATAACTCTATAGGAGAAAAAAAACAGACAGAATACCATTTAAAACAAGGTCTACTGTTTCTCAATATTATTAAGATTTGTAAAGTTTCCTCCATAAAAATATTTTGAAAGGTTTCTATGAGGTAAGATTGATTAATTCTATAATTATAACTATTACTACCATAAAATGTAATAGAAACACTGAACACTAAAAATCAGCTGTTGGCAATAGAAAACCAAGAAAAGGACCAAGTCATGAGAAATCTATTGTGAGACTAGATGTCAGTTTTGAAAAGATTTTGAAACTGACTATGCACCTGAATTAGAGTAGAATGAAACAATTATCAGCAGAGGCATATTTAGAGCTGGAAGGAGGAAGCCAAGTTTTTTAAGGGCCCATATACAAGTCTTTAATGTTTTCCTAAAAATATGCAACTTTTTCATTTATTATTTCCAGAAGCTTGAAGAAAGCATTCCTCAAATGCTTCAGAGTGATTTCAGTTAACTGTGGTAAAGTAAAATATGGAAAAAATCACAAAAAAAAACAAAAAACAACTTTGTTTGAAGTATTGTATGGCAAAAAAATGTGCCATCTAGGTACGTTTTGAAATTGCTGACTGTGGATAGAGTTGATTCTCATGTTTGAAATACACTATCCAAACACTCAAATTTCAGAGCATATGTGATATTTATAAATCCACTAGAACTCTAATTAGGATGATTAAAATAAAACAACAGGCAACAGGGAATCAACTATAACAAACAAAATACCTGTTCACAAGTTATGCATTCAATAATAACCAGAAATTATCAAAATAAGAATAACAGAAACAAAGCAATTAAGTAGTCTTCAATATTTATTCACCCTATTGCTATACTCAACATAAAAAAAAGATTATATTGTTTTTAAGTCACTCATAACCATAACAAGCTTAGTTAAGCAAACAGATATTGCTTGTTTTTTAATTTACTCTTTCAATTTACAAATTAAAAAGCAGCAAAATATTACTCTTTTACATTCCTTTAATTCAGGTACTTACCCATCATTCCAAAGTACCCGCAAGTGTTCTCTGGTAACTTTCATAATTGCATAAAACCATTCCCAAAAAGTGAAGTTTCTATCTGGAAGAGGTTCTTTGCAAAACTGCGACCATGTGATCATCATGTTGCTGAAATCTTGAATTTGAGAGTCTAGTTTAAAAAAAAATTTAAATACAAACCTTAGCAAAAGTTTAACTTGTTCAAAATTTCAAGTTTCCTCCATCTCTCTATTTATACACACACACACACACTTTAAATATATATATTTAAATGTATTCTACATTTTAAGTATAGAAATTTTAATTAAAAGATCCGACTTCATACCATAGTTACGATACATTTGAGAAAAAGATAAAAGTAACATCTAAGATCTGTAGTTTTAAAAATAGTATTTTTTGTTTGAGGGACAATTCTTTGAAAACTAAGCTGGATTAAGAAAACTGATTATGGCAAAGGTTTTGTTATAAAATTGAGCTAATATTTCACATTAAAATGTCTGTAAACTCACTAGAAACTATCTTTCCACTATTTTTATAAATAATTTTAGTATTTTAAGCTACAGATCAACCTTTGAGTTTAATTATTGTGGTTAAAATATAAAAAGTTGTTACCATACAGGCTAGAAAAATTAACTTTTTTAAGATTCCTCACCTAAAAATATGGTAATAATTTATTCTGAGATGCAAGTTGTAGTATGTATGTTTTATCATAATTTTGCAACAATTTTCTCTTTATATGCTCAATTATTAGCCAATAGTATCAAAAGTGTGAAATGTTTGTGATTACAGGCTACTTGGCAATAATATTTTTCATTGGGTGACCTATTTTAAAGAATATATTCTAAGATAAAACAAGAATTGGTTAGAATATTCAAAAATGAAAGGCGACTTATAAAGAATTATCTTGAAGATTGGAATATTACATTGAGTGAAATATGACATTATTTCAATAAAAATAAAATAGAGTAAACTTTCTGCAACCAAACTTACACAAATAATGCTACTTGTGTGAACTGTACTTTGTATCAGTTAATATGTAGAATATTGAAAAGTATACTTTTCATCTTCTCAGTTTAGATGCAGCAAGGTGCTAAGTAACTCACTCAACTTTCTTTCACTAGTGGCTGTTATCTGTGTTCTCTTATAAGATAGACAACTTGTAACATTGTGAAAGAGGAAGTTGTTAATTTTTGTCGGCATATCAAATAATGCCTTTTGTACATACTAGGTTATAGGCATATGGGCTCCTCTTTGACTGTGGAGCTACGTGCAAGGCTGGTTTCATGTAATGTTAGTTTTTTTTTGTTTTTTTATTTATATATATAAAAGGCCAGGCTTTCAGGTTATGAATTTTTGCAGACTTCTGAATACTTAGAGATTGAGGGCTCTCTAAAGCTTAGTTAATCTAATTTTTGTTTTCACTTTGATGTTTACCTTCTGTGAACTGGTTTGATAATGTAGACCTTGACTTATGAAGAAGGTAGGATTTGTTTAAACTAATATGTTGAAGAATTAGCACTTGGATTATCTAGATTTAGCTTTTAACATTAACTTTAAGAAGTTTAGTTATTTCACTAAACAGTGGCACAACTTTTAATAAAATTCATGTTTTACTTTCATCATTTAACCCTTTTCAGGCTGACAAGATGTTATGTCAATCCTATTTGTTGTCTTTTCACATTTAAAATATTTAACCTCATTGCATTAAATTGTGGGCAACAATTTCTACACATAATCTATTTTGTGCTTTAAGAAAATATGTAATTTGGTTTAGTATTTGTGTAATATTCTAATTTATGAATTTTAGGAAATTGCCATTAAATGTTATTCATATAAAACATTTTAAAAAATCTTCTATCTTAAGAGTTTATTATTTTTTATAGTTTTTTCTGGTGTGCTGAATTTATCTAATAGTTATTTTTTTCAACAGAACTTTAACTCTTGTATCTACATTATTCTAATAACAGCATACATATAATCTCATCTATTCATATGTGCTCTTACATAAAAAGAAAGTAACTATAAACCAAGATAACAACTCTTAGCAAGTTCAAATAAATAGTGAAAAATAACCACGAGGAATCTATTCATATCATTTAATTCTTAATCTAATTTTATGAATTTAATTAACATTTTTGTGTAGTTAAACAAAGGTATGCAAGATTTCAAACATGAAGAGTACTTAATTTTTGTATGCAGCTTATAAAACACAAAAAACTAATATAAAATCTCAATCTTGTAACCTGATTTGTTTGTAAATGTTTAAAAATGTATTAAGAATGCATTAATCAAATGATATGTTCAATTAAATTCTTTCTTGCATTTTAAAAGTATTTTTCCTATACAACAAAGTATTCCTTAAAACAATTAATATTTTAATGTACTACACAAATGAGGTTTCAAAAGCTGGATCAGCAAATTGTTTTAAATATATTCTCAAACGTATGTAAAATGAATAATAATGCCAATATTAACAAAAAAACACACACACACACACACACACACACACACATCACAATATTTTTAAATTTAGCATCTTATTCAAAAAAACATTGTAAGGTGGTTATGTCTGAAGTATGTTTACACTAATGGGCAATGACTTGTAGTAGGATGATAGTATTTGCATAATACGCTTTGTTCTTGTGTAACATTGAGATCTAAGTCACAAAAAATATGCATTAAACTGAAAATGGTGACAGCAAAACAAACTAATGATTCAAAAATTGACACAAATGAAAAAATCTCTCAGATATAAACA